TGTGCATCACGAACCTGCTGGAGCACCTATATTCTGAATTTAGACATTTTCATACATCCTGTGTGTTGTTTGGTTGCTGCATCCTGTGCAGCATTCTTTTTCAACAGTTAGCGGCTTTTCGTGTTATTTCCGTGACGGACATTCAAAATACACCGCTGAATCTTCAACTGGCTAAGTATTCTTATAGAGGAAATTACTGTGTCAGTAATCGCTTCGGGAGACGAAAGGAATGTCGAAATCGTCAAAAGGCAATCAAAAAATATGATAAGTAATCGAAAAAAACACGATCAAGCCACATCGAAGCCACATTTAGACGATATCTCATCATATGTTTGGAACAGGATGGTGATGCCCAACACACACTACTAATATCTCGAAACAGCAAAGCCTTATCAAGTGCTTTTGTCGGAAGAATCGCTCAGCTTAGAGTACATCAGGAGGTGTAATGGGGGTCAGAATTACATATCTGTAAACATCAAGACTATAATTACGATAATTCTGAGCTGGAGTGGGATGTTTCCCGGAAAAGCGAGTGATTCAACTAAAACTATTCGCGTAACTCTTTTGAACTTGTCGAATGGAAATTAAAGGTACCATTTGGAGGTAGTGGTTGATGAATAGTCGGTTTGTCTTTGAAAAAGACTAGAATAAGTATTAAGCTGGCAATATTAGCAAGCGTGGCAACGTAAATTGGACCAGTATAAATATTCAGATAGAGCGCATTTTCGATAATTATATGTCCTGGATATGCTAGCGAAGAAAATACTAATTGAAATACTGCAACAATTACTGCTACTGCATGAGTGAATCAGTAAAAGCAGCATACAAACTGATGTCATCCACTTCCTCCTATATTTACTATTCCAGTACTAAATTCAATTTCAGTATTCCAGTACCACCGAAACGATTGAACTAGTCGTGGAAGGATGGAACAGCCCAATCACCTTACGAATCATTCATTCGTTTCGATGGTAAATTGGTACTGGCATATGGCAAGGGATTGTCATCCACTTTATTTCTAAACTATCCCTGAAAGAGGGATCTATCGGCAGCTTTTTGTCTGTGCATGGTTGCAGTTAACATGTACTGTTTGGGTTACTTCTTGAGTGCCTTTCGTTTATGGAAAATGAATTCTGCAGAAGGTTTCAATCTGCTGGCCATACATTTTTCTGGCCTCTCGCTGAAAATGTGGCTGCCGATGACACAGATCGTTGGTATATGTTTTGCTTTTGAATTTAGGTATCACTGCCCACCTTTCCTCCTTTCTCTCGCCTATTTCCCTTCTCCGTCCACATCTTGTTTTTTGCTTTTCTTTCAAAAAAAAGCAGATTAGCCTCTCCTTACAAAAATAACTGACATGGTCCTACGCTAACGGCTAGCATTAGTGCTAATCCAAATAAGCTGACGGCCATAGCTCGATCCTTCACTGTGCTAATTTTTGCTATATAGCCACGCATTACGCTTGTGGTACCTGCAACAAAAAATACAGAACTGTTAACGCCAGAAACAAGTTTGTGGGTAATAAGCCTCGCTTAAAGACTGTTCGAAAACAATAAAGATTGCGTGGGAGTTTGAAAGCAACATCAAAAAATTGGAAAATTTTAGATAACGGTGGCAGAGTTCAAACCCACAGAAAGAGTAAATCTTTGTTTCATTCCCACCATAGTGCTAGACTGATTAGAGTAGAAGTGAATAAGAGTAAAATAAAAAAAAAATATTTGGTCAGAAATAGTGATATTGACAACAAGAGATCGGAACTATTTGCGTAAAACA